TAATATTTCTTTCTCTTGCAAGCTTAACTTTTGCTATAACTTCATTATATTGCAAAAATGAAAAACAAGCACTATTACATTCTTGCGACTGCATAGTTTATCTTTACTTACAGAACATTTCTTCCATAGGGAAAATACCGCACAACACTTTTTACAACGATAACAAAACAATTATACATAACCACAAAAAACAAAGCGAATTTACGCCAGATGTCTGTCAACGTTGCCAACGTTTAGCCCAATTTAATGTTATCCTTGTATTAGACTATTATCACAAACTAACCTAAACAGATGCGACACCTTATGGGAAATTTTGTGTTCAAAAAGACCTATGTTCGGAAGTGCGACGACAGAGCGGCGATACCGTCGATGAAGGCAAAATATTCGGCCAAACAAACAGCCGTGGTGACTTCAAATCGTTCCCGCACACCCCCTTCTCTAAGCTTCCATTTCTTTCGTTCTTTCTCGCATTTAACCTTGCCTTTGATACACCGCGCCGCCTCGTCTGGCCGTCGCAGCCGCCGCACGATTATAAAGTCAAAGCGAGATTGCCAGCTTGAACTTTTTTTATGTGAGAATTAAATGTTATATGTACTTGTATTAGCGCTTTCTCCTGGATAATAATAAATAACTATTACATGATGTTAGGAAATATCAGCTAATATTTATTTGTAAAGTATGAGAAATTTACAAATTTTAACAATCGGTTAAGATCAATACATATGTATAAAGAAAATGACGATTTCTTTAAAATTAAAAATTATATAAAATATCAGAAATATACAATTCTTAAAGAATAGGATCTTTGTTGTCAGCTTGCCGTTTGTATTTAGCTGTACTTCCAGCTGTTAATTTCAAATATTAATCTAAAGTCTATCTACTATTAGCCAGCTTAAATTATCTTTAATTATTTTTATATCCTGCTTGTTAATAGTTTTATGCACTACTATAATTTTATTTGATATTTTAAATTGATTTAAAATTTAGCAGCTGATCTTTTATATAGCAAATAGGTACTTTTATGATACAGACACGGCATATTGTTTGCATGTGCCGTGATACCGATATAGTTTATACAAATTGGTAAGTAGAATTGGCAACAGTGTCCTAGAAAAAGGATATGGGAATCTAAGATGGGAATATTGAAGGTTTTCAGAGGATTTTTAAGTCAGTTTCTTCAGTTGTTTCACATGGATATTACATACATCATTATTATTAGCTGTTTCCGATTTTAATTTTCTGTTGGGTTTTGTTGGTTTACATTTAGTTAGTTCACGGTGTTCTTAGTATTGTTTTAGTTAATTCAGCTATTCAGTTTAAGTTTCTTGTTTTGATTTTATTTAAAATGCTTTTAAAAAAATGTGCATTCAATGGATGAGAAAACACTAAAAACTGAAGAAGATACATTTTTTAGATTTTCTAGGACTAAATTATATCAAAAACTGTGGGTGTTTTTTTCCGAAAATACCTAGATTTTCTAATACGAAAAAAGCGAATAGACATACAGTTCGATCAAATAATCGACTTATTAACTACATAAACTTTGTAAAAATATTATACTTCTATGCCAGGTAGTAATAAATTTTCATACCAACTTTCACCCCTATATCATCCCCGAGATGAGGAATTTTCAAAAATTTCCATTAACATACAAACTGGATAAAATGTTCTCACAGTTATGTCCTGAGCCTGAGAAAAAACAATATGGCGATATTATTATATAACTTGGTAATATTTGACGGGTAGTTTCATCTCGTTGGAATTTGACTTTCGAAAAATCTGTTTGTCAAAAATATTTTTTTTTGCGTCAAGCAGTTAAGCAGAATCGTAGTTAATCAATTATCCAACTTTTTGGAACACCCAGTATGATTTTTTAAAAAAATTCAAAATATGTAAAAAAACAAAATAAATTATGCGTGTCCAAGCGTTTTCCCGAAAGACTAACCGTTTTTTAAATTGTGACGACTTTTTCTGTCATCACTCAAACAGAAAGAAAAAGGTATCCGTTGCTCAGGGTTAGAGGAGAGCTGGGTTCGTAGGTAAGGCTTGTGACCTGTGGTGACTTAATAATGTTGTTAAATAATAAAATGAAAGTAATAATGTATAGGCTGCAAAGATTCTAAAATTGATGTTAAGTATTCAAATAGTAATGGTCAAAGACAGTAAAAAGGGCGCCACTTACTTTGGGTATGAAAAGGTAAAGTAAGAAACCAGTAAGAAAATTTGATCATGAAATAGCTAAAATAAAATAATCAACAGCAATAAGGGTCTATTATGTTCATCAAGAATAAAAGTCAGATATAACTATCCTACGTTGAACATTTATTTAAAGACGAACACAATTATCAATCAGTTTAAACCCAGTTTTAATTATCCCAATGAAATCGTTAGTTACTTTAAGTAAACTCAAATTTAGTTAAAGTTCTCTCCAGTATACTATACTACGTAATATATAAACAGGTGAAATTTATGTAAGTACCAATACGATGATGTTTCGAAACAAGTCGTGTACAATACCCTTCAAAAATGAATCCGTGTTAGCGATTCTCACATAAAGATCATACTGAAGTAAAACGTACCGTTAAGGACAAAGCATGACTTATAATGTTAACTAAAAGGTAAATTTTGACTATAATATATGGAATAAATGACAACAATTCACAGAGATATTCAAAATATTATCTCAAAGTAAAAAAAATTTAGGGAATACCTTGTGTGTTGAACTTAGAACTTATCTGTATTTTTTTTTTAATTTATGACGTAGTGAACAGATAGGCAGGCAGTCTCCAGACTAACGGAAGTGGATGTAGACTCTTCGATAGTAGCAGGAGTCTTCGATATCAGTAGAATAAATGTAGAGTCATAAATACTGTCTCAAAAGTGGTTACTCATATGCCAATTACTTATACGTCAATTTCTTATACGCCAGTTACTCTATATAAAAAAAACTCTCAGAACAGTCACCGAATACCAAAAAAAATAACTTACGGTCTGAAAATCAGCTGTACACATTCCAAAATATAGCCAAACTATATGCTGATCCAAACCAGTAATGCACAATCAAACATTATCAAGATAAATAAAAAACGGGAATAACTGAAATAAAACTTAGTTAGACATGGCGATACAAAATGGTAGATACACTTACTGTGATCTTATTCCAGGAAAAGGCCAAAAAAACACGAACTAGGCTCTGAACAGTATATTCTACAGGATTTCAAATCTCCACTTTTGGATACCCGTGCCTAACTGTTAGGAAAAGTGTTTCAGAAAGCCCTTTTTCTCTGAGATTCGTCGGACGCTGAACCACGCGTCTTTTTCTGATCTCAATCTCTCGGAAAAAAACTCCTTCCTCCTTTTCGCAAAACGGAAGTCTTCGAATTGACAGGTCATATGACCAAAGGCAATTAAGTGAACTCTATCGTCTATACTGAATGAAATTTGTTTTTATGGAAAGGAACCGCTACCTGTACTGAATGAAGTTTAACATCTAGCGAATAGATGGCGCCAGCAATATTAAAATTTGGAATTTTATAAAAAGAAAAATAAAACGCTACAAAATAACAAATATTGTAATATTTGAGGGGCATTTTCACCCTCTTGGAATCGAGAAACCCCTCCTTATGGAATCTCTACACCCCACAGTCAATCCGTTTGCCAAAAATCATCAGCTTTAAACGTCAAGCAGTTTAAGCAGAATCGTGATTACTCAATGGTCATATTTTATGAAACACCCTGTATAAATTTTTAAAAAATCTTAAAATATGTAAAACAACAAAATAAAATATACGTTTTTAAGAGCTTTTCCGAAAAACTCATCGGTTTTTAAATAAAAAATATTCTAATATTTGAGGGGTGGTTTCACCCCCTTAGAATTCGAGTTTCGAAAAATCCCTTCTTATCGAACCTCTACACCCTAAAGTCAATCCGTTTTCCAAAAATCAGCTTTTTACGTCAAGCGCTTTAAGCAGGATCGTGATTAATCAATGACCAGATTTTTCGAAACACCCTGTATACATTTTTAAAAAATCTTAAATTAGGTAAAAAAACAAAATAACATATACGTGTTTAAGCGTTTTTCGGAAACTTGACCGTTTTTTAAATAAAAAATATTGTAATATTTGAGGGATGGTTTCACCCCCTTGGAACTGGAATTTCGAAAAATTTCTTCTTTTCGAACCTCTACACCCTAGAATCAACCTGTATGCCAAAATTGAGCTTCTTACGTTGAGTGGTTTGAGCAGGATCGTGATTAATCAGTGAGTCAGTCACTTAAGAATTTTATATATTAGTAGGTATAGATTTTGAATGTATCAAAAATTGAAAAAAAACTAATGAAATTAAAATCATCTCTATTTGATTCCGAACTACAAAATTCCCTCTCTATTTTCTACACGAAGGAGGCGTGGCTTCTTAGTAAACGAATGGAGGTTACTTTGCTGGTCCGCTGTAAAATTCGCCTATATGACAAATCTAACGGAAAAATTTGCCTGGCGCATTCGCCAAAATGTAATTTTCACATTTGCATTGTTTGTCGCATCTGTTTAGGTTAGTCTGTGCTATTATTCAACTTATCCTTATATTTTACAACATGTGGCAACCGCGCTAACTGAGTCTTTTAAACTCACTGCTATCGTCCTGGCGTAGTCTTAGCAAATCAGTGAATGTGAGATTTTACTAGTAATTGTTAACAATCACTGATTTCCAACTTGTACTGTAACATATACAACAAATGATGAGGTCATGTACTAAAAATTGACATAAAACTTGTAAAAAATTAATTATTGGTCTCGTCAAAACTATCACCGATTCTCATTTCCGATCGATTCCGATTTTTTTTTCGATCGCATGGTATTTTAATTCAAAGGTTTAAATTAATATACATAATTTTGATAAACACTCAGTTAAGACAAAAGTTAAGAAGAAATATACAGTTAGTACAACTTATTTCTTTATGTCGAAAGGAGATAAAAACGAGTAATGTTAAATTCTCTTTGTAGGGTATTCAAGAAATCGTCTCCCAACAACAAGCTGACCATGTACCTGTCAAGTCGTGATTTGGTAGTGTCGCATGGTTGTATCGATCGGCTTATAGGAGTGCTATTAATAGATCCCGAGTTTGTGGACAGTAGGAAGGTGTATGGACAAATTACGTTAACGTTTCGGTGAGTATTAACAATATTTATTTCTTACTTATAGCCATAAATACAATCATAATTTCTTGGGACATTATTAAAATGTCAGTTCCCTCTACCTTTTCTTAGAGAACAACCATGAAATACAATAGAGATTTTGAGTAATAATATAAAATGAAAATGGACATTCATCTAACTATTCTAATAATTTATTTACATCATTAGTGTCACACGTAATAAACTTACAGGAGAACAGTTTTATCGACATCCCCTGCTACAGTATTTTTCGGTCCCAGCCACTGAAGGTATTTTTTATATTTCTTTTGGTAAATGGACTCACCTTTAGGTGGAAGTAACTCTTGTCGTGCTTCTTCAGTTTAATATTTCATCCATTTTAATGGAAACGTACTCGAACGTGTGCCGAATTCGTGCGAAAGGCGTTTTTTTACAAAATTCCTGAACTTGATTGACAACAACTGTTAATTTATAAACAGGTCATTTAATACAATAGTAACCTGGTAACAAATAAGGTTCCTACCAGCAGAGTTAATACAAATATACCAGAAGATTTATAACACACTAAATTCGGTAAGAAATAAAATTATCTATGTACTACGGGAATTATAAATTATTAATAACCACGGGCAATTATTGTCACTCGGGACAGACACTTTGCCCTCTGTAATTATCACCCTTATAATTTTTTTGATACGTAAATAACTATTATGTAAAACACTAAATAATAAAACAGATTAGAAATGTGCATAATATTTGATACTATGATTCACCTTTTCTTTTAAAAGTCGGAATTTGTAAACAAAACAAGTGTTTGTTGTATTTTCTGTTTCACATCGTATAGACAAACTTTTAATGATTATAACGGAAGTCATATCTTATACTTTGCCGTCGGTGATTAAAATTTTAATAAAACATCTTATAACAAAAATTAAACATTCATATTTTTTAGATACGTTGTTTCGCGTTTTTGAGGAGATTTATTTTTAATTTTTTCCAATTAGTGTTTTTATCGAAATTTTCTGTTTTCAATTTCTCCCCATAAATTAACAAGAAATGTATGGATATTTAAAATTTACTGTCGAGAGCCTACGCAAGTGTTTGACCTTTTTAAATATTCATTTGCGAAATGAATTAAAAATACAGGAGTATCTTCGTTAGATAATATTTATTTTTGCATATTTTCATAATTATTTTGAATTTCTTTTTTGATTATAATATTATAGACATTATAATATTTTTAATTTAAATTTTAAGTTTTAACAAGTTAAGTTAACAAGCAAAAAAGGTACCTAAATACGTTTATTTATTGTAAACATTAATTATAATATCAGTACAATTGGTTAAATTAATTCCAGACGATGACAGGTGAGTTGAATTTTTGGAAAGTAAATTAATTTCCTGAGTGCTTGAACTTGTTGAAGATCCATCATTGCCAGAAATGTTACCCAAAATATTACATGACACTTTTTTCTTACTTTCTTTGGAATTTTCTATATAGCTCTCTACCACTGTGTTAGAGCGCCAACCACTAATGTCTTTTAACAGTTAATAAATCCACTCCTGAATCTGCATGCAATGACACAGACGATCTACGGAAACAAATGTCCAGTGTATTGTTGTGGATTTGGAAGACTTAGGAACAGTGCTATTTTATACGGAATTTTCCCTAAAGTATTAATGCCAACGGGTTGCTTAATACATTTTCCATTTCTGTACCCCACAAAAAATCGAGTATGCTCTGTGTTGCATGGCCGCATAGCTATATATCTTCGAACCATTTCCATCAGATTTATTCCTTCAACATTCCCTTTCGTTATAAAAAAAAATCTCGTGATATCTTTGTTTTCGTAAATGGAATAATGACATGAATGCATTGTCCTTCATCTTTAACATTTTGCAGCTGCAGATTCATCACCTCGATACGCCGGCAGGCTCCCGCAAGTCCTACTATCAATGAAACTTCTGTCAGGAAATAAGTTTTATCATCGGCTTCCAACAAAAAACGAGTTATGTCTTCTTTTCTTAAAATTCTCGATTTTTTTGACCGAAATCCTTCCGATTTCCTTTTTCGAAATGCAATTAAATGGACGTACTTACTAATATCTGTATTTTTCTTCACTGATATAACTGAACGTAGCATGGAATAATATACCCAAAGTGATGAAGCCTTCCTATGTTTTGAAAGATGTTCAAAATATGCCAGGAGAACCTTTTCGTTACTACTATTCTTGATTCCTTTTCCTTTACACCAATCTTCAAGTTTTACATAGGCTTGCTCGTACGTTTGTCTTGATTTTTCGGGAAGTAGGGAATCGACAAGGTTTTGCGTAATGCCTTCCGAAGCGCCAATCCGAAGGGACACAGAATCAGAATCACCCATATTAATATTATTTTTTGCTTTTTGCTAAAACTGAACGTTTAACACAAAATTGAACATCAATAATTGAGTTGTCAAAGTCAAAATGAAAACAATCAACAAGCACGATTACCACGGCGTCGACTAATATGGGCACCTGATAATTTTGAATTTTAATTTTAATGAGCATATCTCTGATATTTTAAATTATATCAAATCTCTTTGGATCGTCCCTCGTGTCGGGTCGTTGATTAAATTTTGAATGATACACGTTCCATACGAACTTTTTAATGAAACGCGTGTAACGTTTAATTGCGGCTTAGTTACACAATGATGTTCGTATCGAACTTGTATCATTAATAACTATTATACATATGTCTTTTTTCCCTAGGCATCGAACACCAGGATTATTAGTCAGCACATCTCTTACAAGGACAATTTAAAATTTAAAAATCTACATTGACATAAACATTTTAAGATGAGTGACAAAAAGATCAAAAACAAACACAAGAAAGAAAAAAAACACATGTCTATGTGGTTATTAACCTCCTGGAAGAAAAGTAATTCTTAATTGTCATCATATATTTCAATTTAAACCATAAATTGTTCGTTCATAGGCTTAAAGATGAAGGCTATAAATTAATAGCAGCTAAACTTCCTGATAAATTGCCATCCACTTGCTAAACGTTTGGGATGAAAAGAGATTTATTAGACACACTTTACTAAGACAGTCATATCGTCGGTTGAATCGATCTGAGATTGGTAGCGTTCATCTCAGAAATTTCAACAAACTACATCGACTCGGTACTTATCAAATGGAAAGTAAGACTAGAAAAAAAAGTAGTACATAGTATACTGGTGAACATAATAGTTATTTATGTATCAAGGTAATTGTAAAAGTGTTAAGTACCGCTTAACTTATACAGTGTTGTTCACCACATACGACACGGAGTATTGTAACTAAACGATTAGATTATTACAAATTGTAAGTTTTGGGTTCGTTGAAGGACTATTAGAGCTACAATTTAAAAATATTTTTACAAGATACAAAGTGTCCTAAATAGGTAAAAAATATTATAGTTGTATTTTTTTAAATAGAACACCCTGTATATTATTCTATTTTTAGATTCTACGAATGAAATAAAGGTAGATTTGATTAAGGTTTATCACACCTAAACCTTACCGTTTTTGAAATATTTTCAATTTTATGAAATTGCAAAAAATAAATTAAGGCTTTATTTCTCCAAGGGTATCAAAGTTTTTAATACTAAATATTTACTGAAGATTATTTATTGATCAGATATTGTGTTGCAATAATAAAAATTTTACTACCTTATACAGAGTGTCCAAAAATTTATATTAAATAATTATTAGCTTTAAACGGCAATAACTTGTTTAATTTAAATAGAACACCCTATATATTTTACGTGAATCAGATGCACAATGTAATTGTCTATCAAATTGTATTGTTCCATTTTTTACCCACCTCTTCAAGTTTTCATAGAAAATGCATTTTCTTATAATTTAGACCTCATTTATCGCTATACCCATGGAATATTGACATTTTAGCTTATTTTTAAAGATATAACAAATTTTCAAAGGGTACAGATACTAATATTGTCGATATATCTAGTTCGCTTATTTAATTAAAAAATAAAAAAACTGTTTAAATATTTTTTGTTAAAGAGGACCGATTAATATGATCCCAGTATTCAAACTACATTATTTGACTGTTTACGTTGTAGTAATAATTGCTCCAAATACTAAAAAATTGAATTTTGTGTGTGTATTAGACAGTGTGGTAAAAAGCAACACCTTATAGATTTTACTTCATTTATTAACGAATGTTTATTTATAAAAACACACGTTCATTTTTATGACTTATTATTATATTGATTTCTGAGCCAAATCCACATTCATTTAGAATAATGTTTTAATTAAAACAATTTATAAATATGTAATTAACTAATTTTTGGTGTTTTTGGTAGGAAATAATGATGGTATATTTAATTGGTATACTCTTTTGTAAATATTTAAATAGTTTATTTTGTATGCCAATGGGCTTGCAATATTTACCACCTGTACATTTTGTACATATTATGGTGCTATAAAAAAATCTGAAATGTCAATATTCCATGGGTATAGTGATAATTGAGGCCTAAATTATAAAAACATGCATTTTCTACGAAAACTTGAAGAGATGGGTAAAAAATGGTATAATAAAATTTGATAGACAATTACATTGTGCATCTGATTTACGTAAAATATATAGGGTGTTCCATTTAAATTAAACAAGTTATTGCCGTTTAAAGCTAGTAATTATTTAATATAAATTTTTGGACACTCTGTATAAGGTAGTAAAATTTTTATTATTGCAACACAATATCTGATCAATAAATAATCTTCAGTAAATATTTGGTATTAAAAACTTTGATACCCTGGGAGAAATAAAGCCTTAAAATTTTTACTGCAATTTCATAAACTTGAAAATATTTCAAAAACGGTAAGATTTAGGTGTGATAAACCTTAATCAAATTTACCTTTATTTCAATCGTAGAATCTAAAAATAGAATAATATACAGGGTGTTCCATTTAAAAAAATATAACTATAATATTTTTTACTTATTTGGGACACTCTGTATCTTGTAAAAATATT